CGAGGGGTGTGGCTAATGGGGGGAGGGTCAAAGTACATTTTTAAAAAATTCTTTGGGTGCACATCCTAATGAAATGTGCTGCGCATGCCTATGACCGTGATGGCTCCTCGGGCTTCTCGGGGTGGATGCTCTCCTGCAGGGCCTCCTGGATCCTGTCAGCCCCCCGACGGCAGCCTGCAGGAAGTGCAGCCAGGCTGGTAGCAACACATCCACGAGAAGCACCAGAGTGCGCAGGGGCAGTTCTGGCTCCATGTTGCAGAGTGCTATGGTGTCCCAAGTGAGGGCAACCAGAGCACTCAGACACAAACGCTTTGCTGTCCCTCATCGAGGTAGGCAAGCAAGCAGGGACACCTGAGAACTGGCTGCCCCAGGGCGGAGGGGAGGGGGTAGGGGTATCCCTTTAAGCACAGGCCTCAGATAGCATACAGTAAGTCCTGACCTGATGCCCTGCCTGACCTGGTTCTGGGCAGCCTTATGTTAATCAGTGTCCACTCAGTGTGGACGTAGTATTTCAAAATAGCAAAATGCTATTTCGAACTGCATTTTATATGTAGACACGTTATTTTGAAATATCTTCTTTCAACTTAACTTTTTTAAATTAAGATATTTTGAAATAATGCTGTAGTGTAGACGTACCCTTAGTTCTTGTCCCTGGAACTTCTCAGCCTCCCACCCCCAGCTAGCTTCTTTTCCCTCCAAGCATCTTCCTCTGAAGCTTCCTGCCTATCTGGTGCAAGAGCTCTCTGTCAGGTCATCCCCAAGCTTGGCTACCCTGGGAAATTTCAACTTTTAGTCCAGTCCTGAAGGAAAATTAAGTTTTGTGTGGAGTAGAAGCCTAGTTTTCTGACTAGCTCCACAACAGCCCTGAGGGAGGTGTCATGTTGACAAGGAAAGATGCTGAGAAACTCTGTGCTTGGTCTAGCATTACTTCACTCACCTCTGGACTGCTTCAGTTTCATCACCAGCTCTTGTAATGAGGGGATACTGTCTGGCCTAAGTGCACCCTTGTAGGCAATGGGGTACTATGTGGCTGTGCTAACTTACCCTTGTACCTGGGCCAATCAACTCCTGTGTACCCTTTGGTGGCATGATTCAATTTTTCTTCTTAGATCATTCCAATACAACTTCCCTTCAGGCTTTTCCTTGACCAAAACCATCCCTGCATAGGCACTAGGCTCCTTAAGGTAAAAAGTAATCACAAATAAAACTCAGAATCCCAAAGAGAGTCCATTGCTAAGCCTGCACAATGCAGGGTCCCCCCCAGCTTCCTGCATAGGCCTTTGGAGCCACTCTCTTGCTTGGTCAGGGGCTCTCCCAGGCTCCTCTGCTCGGCCAACGTCCCTGGTCTCAGGCTCATCCTAGCAGATGCCTTTCCTCATCCTCTGCAGCCTTCCTTGCAGTTCTCCAAGCTTCCCCTTGGCTGCAGACACAGCTGCCCTTTGCAGGTGAGCCACCTTCTGTCACCTGTGCTAGCTAGCACCTGCCCTTAAGGGGTGAGCCACCTGTTACCTGCAGTATCTTTCTGGCCTGGGACCCATTCAATGACTTAGGCTTCAGGATGTTTCTCTTCTTTCCATCCATTCTTCTCTTG